CTCGCGCCCGGGCGACCCCGTACCTGAGGGGGTCTCGCGCCTGAGGCGAACCCGCCCCTGAGGCGACCCCGTACCTGAGGGGAGCCCGCCCCTGAGGCGAGCCTGAGGGCGGTCGTCGGCGGGAAGGCGCTGAGGCGAGTGAGGGAGCCCGCGACGCCGCTCTCGGCGGCGGCCCCCTCTGCCCCCCTGCTCACGGCGCTGTTTCCCCACCCTCACAGCGAACCGTGCGGCCGCCGGGTCCTCGCCCAACGCTACCGAGCCGCAGCGGCACGGGGAGCGGGAGGCCGGGAGCCGYGAGGGCGAGCCCGTGCCGGGTCCCGACTACGAGGAGGATGAAGAGGAGTACGAGGAGGCGCCGCCCGTCCACCAGTACATCGTGGACGACTTGATCCGAGGTGAGTCGGCGGCGCTGGGGCTGTGATCTCGCAACTTGCGAGAGAGCGCCRGCTTATGCCTTTTCTGTCTTCTAAACGCTGCTATGCTTAGCTCGTGGAGTATGGGGCAAAAACGTGCTTGTGCTTGAAGCTGCTGCTTTAGAAATAGCTGTCGCGGTGGAAACTTATCGTGAGTGTGCCAGGGTGTGTGGAAGCTGCAGGTTAGTTGGTAGCTTGCTGTCTATAGCTTTATCCTCCTGACAAACCTGACAGGAGGGCTGTGCTCAGGTGTCGACCACCCTACTTAGTGTAGAAGCATCAGTGGCATTTATAGGCACTGTTTGGCCCTGAAGGTTTGTTTTACTCAAGTTGTCTGTCTTGCTCCAAGAATTTTCTGGTATTTTCTGATGGCTTATTTGGGTTGGAGTCAACTGGAATTTCTTGGGAAAGCAGGCACTTAAACCCCTTAAGTGGCTGCAGGAAAATTTGTTGAGCGTCTTTCGGGCAATGCTTCACTGTCAATAGCTGTTGTGTGTATTTATTGTAATTTGCCTATTTGCTGAGCTGCAAGATTTGAGCAGTCTACCTGACTGTGGGAATGGGAGTACTTTGTTGGTTTTGGGTTAAGTGCAGTTGCAATACAAGCCAGGTATCTACAAGTGATTTGAACCTCAGTAGGTGTGAGTAGGCTGATCCTGTTGCCTCCAGCATGGATCTGACTACTGATTTTCCTGCAGAAACRCCCTGAGATTTGAATGTGACTAAAGGACCTCTTAAATGAAGTGGCATCACACTCTGTGTGGTCACTTGAGGGGATTTGTGTACTGAAGGTCTTTGTGAAGATCTCCAGGAGAAATGTGCCTGTTGGTGCTACCGAGCAGTTCAGCCTGTAAAGCTACTGGTTTGGTGGCTGAAGTATTGCCTTAACTGCACAGAAACCAAACTTGTTACTGAAGGTGGTTGGTCTGTAGACCAGCTTTTCTGCTTGGCACAAGGTTTATCTGTGGCTAAACCTTGAAGCTGTTATGATTCAGCTGGGGATGGCTTTCCTGGCCRTGCAGCCTGCAGACGGGGACACTGAGATCAAGCTGACAAGCTGAGCCTGGGAGAGGGAGGAAGGGAAGCAGCCTCAATTATGAAAGCGCAAACCTAAAGATCAAGTCAGACGGGACAGAACAGGGGCCTTTGACTGTCAGGAGTGAGCTCACACTTCCAGGCACAGGAAACCTTGCTGCAGGAACTGTGCACCTGGTTTACATATTAATATAGTTTATACCATTTCCATCAGACTTCTGGTTGCTGAAGGCATTTTTGCTTTTAAGTAACTTCAAGCCAGGCTTGTTGCTCTAGAAGTTAAAATGATCAGCTGTCTAGACAACAGTGAACTACACCTTGTTTCTTTGTATGGGCTCTCAGCACCAGAAATACAGGGTTAGGAAGTAGTTAGATCCAGTTGTGCCTATTGTGGTGATTGACTGTGTGCATAGTGCTCTGGGTAAAATATTAATTATCTAGAACTTATTTTCATTAGGTCTGCAGAGCACAAGAGCGAAATYGAAGCTTGTRAATAGCTCYGCTGYCTCTTAAGGCCTGTTTAAATCTCCYGGGTAACTGKTACTCCTGAGCAGCAGTGTTGCAMTGAGGGCTGGTGCGGCAGCTAACAGTGCAGGGGACAGGTTCTTCCAAAAAATATTCTTTTGCCAAGTTAGTGCGAACCAACACTATAGAACTTTGCTGCATGGGGGGCAGCTCTGGAGTTTCTGACGCTTGGTCAGTGGCTGGTTTGTTCTCCTCAGCGAAAGGAACATGATTGCCCTTGCCTAAATCCAAGGGCTACTAAGTCATCAGGGTTTTAAACCGCACTCTTCTGGAGGTTTGTCTTAATTGAGATAATGAGGGGGAGCAGTAAGCGGCAGAATAAATAGCCTGACTCTCACGGACTGTTGCCTTCACTCCGCCCCTGCGCTCAGCATCTCTCACAAAGCAGGGGAACTGGAAAGGAACTCTCTCCTGCTGAAGACAGCACGGCCAGTTGTTTAGGTCAAACAAGTATGCTAACCGGGATAGCAAGCTGCTTTGCCTCGGCAAGTGCCCAGGACTATCTAGTGAGTTACAATGCCTTTCATCACTGATGCAAATGGGGAGTTTAGGGCCACGAAGCTATTAGCCTTGTATCTGAGTCTGTATAAAACTAGAGGATGGCTTGGCTCRGCATGAATTCCCTGTTCTTTACAGGCCTTTGCTTGAAGCTGTGCTGGTACTCTCAAGTGTCTTATGCTGTGAAGTGCTGCAACGTGTGTCTCTGCTGCTCTTCATCTCTGGTGGCTCTTGGCTYATCTGCTCCTGCTGCCTCTCCTCTGCATGGCACAGGACTTAAGGGTAGCAGAGTTGTACTTTAATGAGTTGCTGAGCTTGCTGCSTTTGTGCTGGATGTGAGATACCCAGCAGCATTCTCATTTGCATCCTGTGCTTCCTGGTCACAGACCTTCCTGCAGTGATGGTCCTTCTTGCTCTCACCGCATTCTTTAATTCAATTTTCTCAGAATTGTGCTTTGTAGCACTTTTGTACCAAGTCGTGTCCTTTTTTCAGTTGAACCTGTGGTTAAACCCAAGCCATCAAAAAGGGGGGGAGAGAAGAATGCTGGCAAATCAAGAAGGAAGAAAAACAAAGGGAAAAATAAGAAGAAAGGGACTCCCTGTGAAATGGAATACAAAAATTTTTGCATCCATGGAGAATGCATATACCGAGAACATCACCAGATGGTGACCTGCAAGTAAGTTACTTGTACCTTGTGAGTTAGGTGTGATTGCCATGAGCCAGTGGCATATAAGGGCTCGGAGGAAAAATCRGTGTTGACTTGGCACAGATCCATCTCCTGCCATATTTTGACTGAGAGATTTCTGCCATGTAAATTAAGTGATGATGGAATCTGAGATGCATAACAAGCCACTGAACTCATCAGTTGGTCATAAACCAAAAGAATGAAAAGGCGTGTCTTTCTGGAACATCACACCCAAACTAATCTCAACTTGTTGAAATGCTGACAAACCTTGTGCTAGAGCAGTGACTGCATTTCATGAACACGCTCTGAAGTGAGCATCTTGAGATTCATGGGAAACTCGGAAGATGTCTAAGTCAGGCCTGAATTTGTGTGGGTGTCCTTGGCTCCAGACAGCACAAGAGCTGATAAGAACTTGTGTTAATATTTACTTGCAGGTGTCATCAGGATTWTTTTGGTGAGCGCTGTGGTGAACAGTTCATGAAGACTCAAAGGAAGAATGATGTGGCAGACTACTCCAAGACTGTGTTGGTTGTGGTAGCTGTCCTGCTCTCAAGTGTCAGCTTCATTACTGTACTTATCATTGTGATAGTGCAGTAAGTATTGTCCTCTTTGGTGTCTATCTTCCTTAAGTGTGAATGGGGGYTGTGCCCAATAACCCCAGAATGTGCATGGCTCATCTGAATGACCTTTGTGAAAAGCATCCACAAAGGATAAGCTCTTATTCCAGCTTGGATGTGTCTAGAGGGTAGAAGCAAGGTCTGTGACCCTAATATTTTAAACCAAGAGCTTTTTTTGCTCTTGCTGTAACCAGGATAGTTAGAGTTCTGTAGAACATCAGCAGGAAGCCCAGGAGGAGCATTAATGCTTACGCAGCAGTGCCTTCCCTAATCCTTGTGGAGAGGCCTGCAAGCAGCAATGTGMCAGCCTCATGCATGGCTATTATCCAGCAGCTGGATACACAGGTGGAGGGTAGGAAATGGTACTCTGACAGTCCATTTATTAATGGATGTTACTGGGCTTAAATACTTACACTTGGAGGGGAAATAAATGAGCAGACATGCTTGTGGTCCCAAATTCTGCTTGCTGTTAATATGGAGGGAACACTATTTCAGCTGAACCAGGTCATCAGCATCTGGAGTCCTGTTAATACATTGAAAGAGCTTTTCTGGGTATGTGTTTCAGATCATATAACAAACTGAATACTGGACTAGTCCTCCAGTTCTGCCACTGCTGCTCCAGCACTGTAGGGCTTGCAATCTTGTAGAGACTCAAGGTTCAGTCTAATTTTAGATCTTGATGAAGCACATCAGCTGAATTGGGTACGTGCTGTACCCTTTCCTGCAATTCAGGAAACAAGGTGCGCGTTTGTCACTTCACTGTTGCTTCATATTTAACTCTAAACTTGAAGAATGCTGGGATGAACACTTGTTCTCTGAACACTGCCCCATTCCTTGCTGTTAGGAGAGACAACCAGTTCTTTAGTCCTCTAAGAGCAAATGATTATTGGTAGTTTCTGAAGTACATTTGCTTCATGTTCTGAACCCTCACAAGCCGGTAGCATGCTAATACGTACCCTCATCCAGAGAAACTGTTTGGAATAGTCATTTGAAAACTGGATAAACTGGGGGGGAAATCAGTGTTTTCCTTATTATGTATTCAAGGGACAGGGACTAGGCTTGAAGTGCTCTGCTGTTGAGAGGAGGAAGACAGTGTAGTCTCTGTAGCTATGAGCTGAAGCTGCTAGGAAATCTGTCACCCAGAAAATCTCCTGGTGCTTTGCTCAGTCCCAGCAATAAACTCTCTCCATCTTGCTCTGTAAAGTAGCTTAAGTCAAGCCCTTTCTCTGTGAGGCACAAGTGTCRCCATCTAGTTCGGGGGTTCTTTGATTTTATCAGCAGATACTRCTTGATGCTGATTGCTTAAAACTGTCTTGCTTGAAAGTCCCTGGTGCCAAGGAGTTGCTTGAGGATTCTAAGAACAGGAGTCTAAAGCTACAGAGGATGTGGAGRCTGGTGACAACAGGATGTAAGCTAGGTTCAAAATTATCTCTAACATGCCATGATTCCACAGGGTTAGGAAAAAGTGTCCTCAGTATGAAGAGAAAGAAGAAAGGAAAAAACTCCGACAAGAAAACAGAAATGGCCACGTTGGTGTTTAAATGGGGAGAAAGCAGGTATGAACACTGACTTCAAACACCTTTTGGTCCTTCCAGGCTGTATGGGAATTGCATGCTTGCTTTGCAAAGCTACTGTTTGCATTTAACGCTCCAAGTGCCTTGAAACACATAGGTTACATGTGAGCAGCTGGCTTGGCTTTCTGGTTTCTCAAAACCACCAGARTTGTACAAGTTGTCCAACAGCTCTGTTAAATTTCTGGCTGTCTCTAAGACCAAGTGAGGATGGGAAGCTGTACTGAGATAAGTGGTACTAAGAAGAAGGAGTCCTGAATATCTGGGCAGAGGCAGGTTTAGTGCAGGAAACACTGGTAGACTTCAGTCATGTAAGATGGTGCCACAGCATCACCRCCTCTTAGAAGAAAAGTACTGAGTGTTTTCATGTCTTTCCTGCAAGGACAGTTTCAGGAAGTTTCTGGTGCTTACAAGCTGGAGACCAAGATGAAGCTGCCAGTTCTGTGAGCACTACAGRGAGATAGCCTCAGTCAAGTTTCATGCTGTCATAGCAACTGAGGCCCAAAGCTTTTTGGCCTATGTGGCTTGCTTCTAGGAGTGATCTAGTGGATTTTACTGAGTGTGCAAGTTGGTCTCTTCTGAGGCCAGGTGTACCTAACAGCGGAGTCGAGGACCCTTACTGAATAGGAGTTACACTACAAGCTGAGGAGAAAACCAKGAAAGATAGTCCTGAAAACTTCTGGCAGAACTGTGAAGGTTTGCTGTGCTACGTATCAGCTATAGACATTTTTCAGCTTTGTGACAGTTGGAGGGTTTTGCTCAAAGCTTACTTGAAGCTGAAGAATATTTGGCAGCATGTTCTCAGGTGTGTACACAGTCTTAACTTACCTGCCTTGCACATAGGTTTGCCATGGTGCTAGCACAGGGTGCTTGTGTCTMGGATGGTGATTAATGTGCCTGGTCTGCCCCTTACAGAGCAATTCTGAAGTGGCCATTGCCAAGCTGCAGGGTAGCTCTGGCTACCTGTCACATCCACCTGGACATTGTGGCCTGGAGCTGTTGCCACTAAGCCCTGATTCATCAAGACAGAGGCTGCTTCAAGGAGATGTCAACAGGCCACTTGTTGCTGAATCACTTGCTGGGGAGACCAGTTATCACTGCATCTTGGCACAACAATGTGGAAGGAGCTGGCTCTGAGGGGACAGGACCTGCTGTCAAGACCTGCTAGAGACAGCTGCTGCTGAGCCTTCTGTATCTGTGCTGGACCTCCAGTCTCTGCGGTTGTGTGGATGGACTTTGTTCTCTTGGCAAGTCTCCTTTGGCAGCCCTAGCTCTAAAGGGGAGAGCCTCTTGCCGCTTTTGGGAATGGATGGAGGGGACAAAATTCCCTTTTCTCTACCAAAGTGAAAAAGGGAGGAAGTTGGGATGGCTTCTTTACCTAGACCTCAGTGGAAGAAAAACCTAATTCTGTTGTCACTGTGTTCCCTGTCCATATTGACGTCCAAGAGCTTCATCTTTAGGTGTGACTTGCAGGGCATTGGTGACAGTTCGTTGTCAGCCTCACCTGGGTTCTGTTACTGTGTGTGTAATCCCTCTGAGTTCTGTAGGMCTCGTGGTGTGAGTGGAGTACCCAYTTGCAAGTGTGCTRGCCCAAGTTAAAATTAGTCTCCTCAGGATGCTGAGACAGTAGATGCAAGACCGGAAGCTTTGTGTCTGAAGGAAAAGATCCACCCACAAACCAACTGATAAGCCTGAACCCATCTGTTCTAAACACAAAACTACTTCTGTTCAACAGATACTTGTTGCTGCTTTAAGCAGTGCTTAAATATAAAGCGCTTCACATCAGATCACATCGGTTGAACTTGGCCAAGAACCTGTTCCTTTGATGAATTAAATTCAGGCACTGATGCTTTGCAAGCAGTGRTCTCTTGTGCTGTACTTTCAGGTGTGAAGAACTCATCTTACCTCAATCTTTTCTGACCCAAGTGTCCTTGGTTTCTTAACTGTCCATGCAGTCTTTGAGCACAGAGTATTATTTGAGTTCYGTTTCTTCTTGGAAGAGTGATTATGTTCTGTATAAACAGAGCAGAATTCTTCTGGTAGCAGAGAGAAACAGCATTAATTGTCAARTTGTATCTGTAAATGTGTAAATATTTATTACTGTATTTAATATTTAATGTTTCCATAACAGACTTATTTATTTTATAATTAAACTTTTTACATAACCTAATCATGGTAAGGTTTTTTTTTTTGCTCTCAGGAGTACCTGTGAACACTTGAARTTAGACCTTGTTTTTTCCTCAAAGCAGGAATTTCAACACTTGGGAGCACAAAGTACTGCTGTGAAGATCTGCAGCCCTGTATCAAGTGTGGGCTTGGTGCTCTTRCAAGAGTGCAAGCTGTTGGTAAACAAAATGTACAAATGCAAGTACCTGTTTGGGTAGGAAATCCATTTCATTCAGCTACAAGAGAGCTTCTAGTCACTGAACTAGGGAGAGGCTAATTGAGCCATCTCAGTGGAAGTGARATTTCAAACTGAAGTTTGAGCAAATATGTAGCTCTGTGCACTTGAGTCAAGAGYTGGAATATTGAATGGGGAAGGCCTTTCATCTCTGTGCAGTCAGAGAGAATTTGGACAGCAGCTTGAAATCTGCTCTTAAATGMGGAAAAGCAGCGTAGCCTCAGCCCTATTACTTCCTGAGGAGAAAAGCAGCCTTGGCCTCCACTGTTTGCTTGGAATTCCTTTTTTTCATTGGAAGTCATTGGTCCAACTGTGTGCTAATGTTCCCTCGAAGCACTTGTAGCAGTGAGCTGGGTCTAAGTTCAGAGTTGCCTGAAAAAAAATGAGTATCACGGAGGTGAGTTTGGCTTTATAGCCACACTTAAAAAGAAGGGGATGAAAAACTTTGTGGCCCTTTTTTTGTAAGCATCTTCAAGATGTGTTGATGGCTGGGGCTTACCTCAAAGCAGAGCTGAGGAAAAAACCCAGCAATCTGTTTCAATTAGGATCCAGGTTGTGTATCCAGTGTAGGACTGGAGTGCCTGCAGTTGCTGAGATGTCTTGGCCTCCTGAGTTGGCCGAGGAGTTCCCAGGCTCTGAGAGCAGCCTGTTTGGTGTGTAGCTGAGGTACAGGTAAAAGGTGTTGCAACATCCCTTGGAAAGATTGCAAGACTTCATTCCAGGGAACTTGCTTCCTTACCAAAGTAAACAGCACTTCTCCAAGTGGCTTTTCCACAGCCATTTGCTATTAAAGCTCTGGCAACAGAAGCTGTTTCTGTCGGTCCTGCCAAGATTTTTTTGCTTTGGAGTAAACAAGCTTGATCTCAGTGGTAACRAAGCCATGGCCTAGTGAGACTGGGGATGGATTGTAACTCCCTTTTAAAAGTGTTAGACTCTTTTCCAGAAATGTTTCCTGTCTAGTCTGTATTGGGGGAAGTACAAGGTTTTCTACTTGTTAGGGTAAACCAACACTAGCGTAGGAAACTGAGCTATTCTCCCTCTTCCCTCCCCAGTATCTGAGCCTGACAGGAGTGAACCTACCAGTGTAAGTTGTTGACTCCATGTTTTGTGTATTTTTAATACTCTGATTACTGAGTGGACTGGAAGGTATTTTCCAAAAATAAGCCATTAGGAGCTGGAGAGGCAACAGTGGAGGGCAGACTTCATAGAAGACTTGTTCTTCTCTAAGGATTTGGATTACAGCCAGGTTTTGTGAAAGGCGCAGCCAGCAGCGCTACTGTGGAGAAGACTTGTGCTTTGCTCTTGGTCAGTCACATCCAGCACTGCTGTAGCTCTTGCTAGCACAGCTTTGCTGTATCTAARACATGGTGCTGTCTCATGCAGGGCAGGGAACTGCCTGTGTTTGCCATGGTGGCTTGTTGAGCACTTGGAACTGTTTTCTGTGTTGGAGAAATTTTGTTCAGGGAATTGAGGGCAAATCTCCCTGTCCAYGAAGGGGATAGGTAATTATAAATTCAGATCTGTTATATATAAAAATGYAAAAATTCCTTTCATGATAATTTAATCAATTACAAGTTCTAGCAAACAGTAATGTGTTTTTTCTATTTGAGCCATGGCCCTGGCTAATAACAGCCTGCTCCCAGCTTCCAAATAGAAGCAGCATGATGCATGAGCACAATCTAGACCTATGGTGTCCAGTGGGTTGRTTACTTAAAAGAACCCACAACAGATGGGTGGAACTGTGTGTCTCATAGTCTCTTGCTGTGCAAGGATGCTGTGCTTGTGTGACAAGCAAATCTGATTTGCTGCAAGGCAAAGACAGAGGTAATTTTTATTGTTGATCCTGCACAGCCAGGTCTGGTCTTCATCTGGCTTTTGACCTTCTCCCCTTACCGTGGAATTACCTTGGTTTCACTGAGCATGCCTGGGTTTCTGGTCCCACATCTTATTAATAAGTTATGCCTCCAGATTTTTCTTGACCTTCCATTGACAATGTTACTTGGAGAAGAGAGCATCTATGTCCTTGTCACTTGTAGCTGCTTCAGCTGAGACCTGAGGGAGGAGCTTCATGTTCTTGCACAGTTTTCTGTGCACAGGGCTGATTTGGCAAGGTATTTTTGATATCCAGTTCAGTATCCAGTGATAATGGGAGGTTCACGTCTTATTGCACAACTCCTTCCTCTTTCCCGAGTGTTTTGTTCTCCATGATTATTGTAGAAAGAGCCATGGCTCATCCCTGTGTTATCTACTGTGCATCTACTGGAGCTTTTGAGTGTTTTGTGGTTGTCTGTGACTGGGAAGCTTCCTGCCTGGCTCTGGACTTGGCTTCCCTCCTCCTGCTCACCTCCCAGTGTGCCCCTTTTCCATCAGAGCAGTAGCAGATGTWACTCTGAATTTACAAGTTTTCCATGGTAAATCCAGAAGCACCCAGACATCTATAAAGGTGTTTGCACTGTCGGTAACCCCAGATACATGTGCRGTGGTTTGTTTCACTCGCATTTGAGTTGTCTGATTTCCAGTAACTGGTATAAAGGTTTGAGTCCTTAAAAATCTTGGGGTGTTTTTTATAGCAATGTGCTTACCTAGCCTCTTAGCGCTACAGATACTTCAGTGAACACCCTAAGCAAGCATGTCTGAAAGCAAGGCTGGGAGCTGAGACAGATGCTTGCCTGTCTTTGGAGAGGGTTTCTTGGTGCACTAATGGTATGTCCCACTTCAGAGAACAATCCTGTGCTCACCTGCCTCTTGAGGCATTCTCTTGGATGGGAAACCATGTCCTTGGTCTTGGAGGGCTCCGTGTCCTTGGTGACTGCCGAATGCAGTGAGTGAGCATGCTCAAAGAGCAAGGCCTTCTTGTTGCTGTCACTTCTGGACACTGTTCACATGAGTTGGATCAGTGACTATCAGAGACAGTCCTTAACAATCAAACCTAGCTTCCTTCTCATTTTGTGAATAAAGATGTACATACCTATCGTTCCTCTAGTGGTTACACCTTTCTTGAGCCAGTAATCCTCATTTGCTGCAGGTCTGGCTTTGTCTGTGACTCCAGAGTCGCTGGGCTGAGACAGCTATGCCTGTGAGTGTCAGAGGGAAACAGCTGTTGTTTGCTTTCTGTCGGCCCAAAGCCAAGGGAGCAGCATTTGTGCCTTCTTCAACCAAGRAAGATCACTGAGGTAGCACATTCTAAATCCAAAGTAGAGAAATGCCTTTAAAATGTGTTTTGCTACTAAGGATAGTAGTGCTGTTTGCTTAGAAGGAACAAGTTTTCATTTATAGGCTTTTTGTGTCAGAAAGATACCTCTTTTTGCAYATGGTTCAGAAAAATGGCCAATTCTCAGCTCAGATTTTTTTGACCGAAGTAATGTAGTCTGTTCTCTATGTAACTCAGGATAAAAAGCAAAGCTAAATAGTCTGGGAGTCTCGTCTCATCCAGCGTTTTCAATATGTCTTAACCTAGGTATTATATCCTCATTCCAACACCATGCACCCTAAGTTAGATAACACCATCATTACTTYGAACTGCCTTTGGGTTCCTATCCTTTGATGCTTTGTTCCAGACCATGGAAAATAGTTTGGTTYTGATTTTCCTTACACAGCTGCAATGAATTTGTATTTGGGCATCAGTCTGCAGTCAGAGGCTGGATTGGTTAGTGGGTGTGCTGGATACCTGCTACTCTTCCAGAGGATTAGAAAGTGTTGCCGATGTGGTTACATTCTTTTTGCTTAGGAAAGGAAATCTTTTGAGCACTGCAGATAGCCAGTTTAAAAAAAAAATAGTTTTAGAAGTTTAAAGTGAGGAATATATTTTTAAATGTTTTTATTAGAGTGTCGACAGCTCCTACCAGTGCATAGCATCTCAGCAAAATCTCAGACTGACCAATGTTTCATCAGTCTCCCTTCCTCTCCTTGCATTCCTGCTGGATTGGTAACGTGAATTGTTGGTGAGTGAACAAGGGCTGAGCCTGGTAGCTCTCCCAGGTTTTATCTACAAGACTCCCCTTCTCCTGCATTGTTTGCCCTCACATTTCTAAATAGTGTGATTTATGTTCAGAAATTATTTAAAATACACACAGCAARTGCAGGTAAAGAGCTTCAAATGAAACTTCCAAGTGCAAGTTGGGCAGGTACAGTTACTGTGGTTCCCACTGATACCTGTCTGCATTGCTTTCAGACCGTATGCAGCTCCTTGCAGTTAAAAGGCACTTGTCTGTCTTATGCCTGGGGATGATTACTGTTGGGGATGAAAGGCAGACACCTCCTGGGTGGAGCAGAGTGGAGCAAAACCAAACCAGGACTTAGGGCAACAAATGTTCTGTCAGCTCTCAGCCCCCCTCATTTATGATGAAAGCTTTTCAAATGCATGCACCATAGTGATGTGTGTTAATACTCTGAGATGGCCTAGGCAAGCATTATTGCATGTTGCCTGAAAAGGCAGTGGCAGGTGGCGTTGCAGCTGGAAGGAGTGAGGTGGAAGGATAGGATCGAGCAAAATGGRCCAGGATAAGGACAGAATTTGAACCAATAATTCTCTCTTACCACAGTCATAGCAAGGATACTAAGGCATGTTAGGGCATATTAAGGAATGACTCCTGTGCTTCTAGGTGCATATCATAGTGCCAGCACATACCAGTTCTAGGGCCTTTCATAGGTTCAGCGGGGAGCACCTCTTCCCTTTCTGCACTGGGGGAGAGACTTGAGGGAAAACTGATGCAGTGRTACATGCTGTGATGGGGATAAAACCAGAAACCTTCACAGGCCTTTGGGAAGCT